ATCCTCCTCAGAGTGTGCATTTCTGGCTGTACATGGTAGTTTCTTTATACCATAGAGTAAGCCTTCTAAGCTTACTCCCAGTTTGTCTCTGATGACCTTTATGGTTTTTGGCTTTAGTCCCAGGTCTCTGATCCACCTTGAGTTGATTTTTGTGTGTGGTGTGAGATGTGGGTCCTATTTCAGCTTTTGCAGGTAGCTGTCAAGTTTTGCCAGCATCATTTATTGAAGACACTGTCATTTCCCCCTTTGATAGGTTTTATTCCCTTGTTTACTATCAGTTGACCATAGATGGCTGGGTCTATTTCTGGGTTCTCAATTCTGTTCCATTCATCTATGTGCCTTCCATTGTACCAGGACCATGCTGTTTGGGTTATAACCACTCTAGAAGACAGTTTGGTATTTTCTTAAAAAGTTGAACATAGAAACTCTGTATGGCCCAGTTATTCCACTGTTAGGAATATACCCCAAGGAAATTGGAACTGAGACACAAATGGAGATTTGTACACCAATGTTCATAGCAGCATTACTCACCATTGCAAGATCATGGAAACAGCCCAAATGTCCAACTACAACTGAATGGATTGAGAAACTGTGGTACATTCACACAATGTAAAACTATGCGGCATTCGGGAACAATGATTTTGAAAATACTACATAACTTGAGACAGACAGACTGGAGAGCGTTACGCTGAGTGAGCGAACTCAGTCTCCTAAGGACAAATACTGCATAAGACCCTTATGTAAAAATAAAAGGATAACTAGTAAAACATTTATGGGGATACAGAGGGGGAAGGGATGGAAGCGGAGTGATGATGATTGGTAGGTGCAAAACCACAGGGTTGCACATTTTGGTGGATGGAGGGAGGGGGACAAAGAAAATGGGAAGGATCTGGTGGGGACCTGAAAAGACTGGGCAATGATGGGCAAGGTCCAAAGGTGTTTGATTTTATAAAACCTAATGCATGGGAATGACTGTATGAAACACACTATGAATGAAGGACAGTCTGAAACACATTGTGTACAAACTTTGTGAGCAAACCAATATATAATAATAATAGTAATAATAATAATAATATTAAAGTGCCCCTTTAAAAATAGCCCACTCACCATCTGGTGGGTGAATTTCATGAAACACTTTAAAGTTTGGGGGCAGAGACTGTTGTAGAGACCACTCCAAGCATCACTAGCACTTACATTATGACATTTTAAAAAATAGTATTGTAAAGTTTTTTGCTTTGTTTTTATTTTTTTATTTTTTTCATTTTCCTGAATACAGTAAAACTGCAATTAATACCCCAGGTACTCTTGTTTATTTAAGAAAGAAAAAAATAAACTTTGTTTTCATATACACAATGTTGCCCCCAAAGTTTGAGAGGATAGTCTACCTTGAATGAACACAAAGAGAACACTGACACATCTCTAAGCGTACTTTATTTCCAAGATGCATGGACTTTGGGTCACAAGTTCCAAACAGGGTCAAGTTGGCCATTTTGCCTCATCTTGTTGCTTGGGGCGGGGCAGGGGTCCAAAATAATGCAATTTAAACAGATGATTCTCAATTCGGAGTCTAACGCTACACCATGTCCGAGCACATCAAACAGTGCTCATTCAGAGTCAGAAAGCATCAAGCATAATTCATGGTCTCAGGGTACTTTCTCTCAATTCAATAACAGAGAAGCCCTGAATAAAAATATCCTTATTCATTTCCACCCTGATGTATCTTACTCAGAGCCCATGAAACAGTGACAAGAGGGGTACTCACCTGCTGACCCCTTACTGTGAAATCGCACCACCTTAAACCGTCCCCAAAGCTATAATTATGGTTTTAAATGTTACTCAAACTCATGGTCCATATTCATTTATGTTTAATCTTTCTTAGCATTAGCAGATTATTATTTGTACAGCACAGAAACAAATCTACCCAAATTCCTTCCTGATGCTTCTTTGGGGATGAAAATGCATCATAGTGCTGTTGTAATGACTTAATTCTACTTGGCAGAGCCCAGGACACACACTAATTTCATTAGCTTCAAATTTTTGGATTTGAAAGGCCCACTGGATTTGGGTCCTGTTCTCAGACATGTCATTTTCTCACCAATTCTATGTGTTTATAGCAGAAAGAAAAAGACTGCTTTAGCTTCTATCTTTGGTCTGGTCCGGTCCACCAGTAGACAAACAGGAATCAGAAGTCATGGACACTATCTGCATAATCACCTTCCCCCAGGTCTTCATTTTCAAGGCACAACTTCCTTAAAGCTGTGCAGTAGAAACAGAATCGATCCCAGAGTTCCCATCTCCTGCCCTGCCCCACTACATGTTCATCAGTGTCCCCCACCCCACCACCTCAACGGGTTCACCCAGCACCCTCTCAACAACAGAACACCTACAATCACAAAAGCACAGCAACCAATGCAAAAGGAAACACAGACTCCCGGAATGCTGGGAATTCAATCAAATAAGATATTTGTTTTATGTTAAACCTCCAAAACTCACTCTCCTGAGTCTGTTCTATCATATCAGCTGCCTCCACATGGTTTCTGAGGCTTAAATCTCGAGGTGAGGAGAGGACTCAAAGGAGCTGCTGGTGGATTTGAACTGTCAGTCGTTAGCAGCCCACATGTGACCTGCAGTGCCCACTGGACTCCCTTTCTTGGATATGGGACAAGCTTAATTGAGCTGAAATCAGACATCCCAAGGCCCTGGCCATGCTTTCCCTCAGCCCATCAGCTGGGCCTTTGAACAATGGCACCTGTGTGCCACCCGCTCTACTCATTGCAGGCTCGCAGATGCCGGGAAACCGGGGGCTGGAACTGCACGCCAAGAGTTTCTAAAATGGCACAGGCAAAAGGCCACCAAAAGGGCTTTTTGGGATACACATACATCCCAACAGAGGCCTTGGGTAAGCCGACAGCTTGCAGCACAATCTACAAGTTGCTGCATCCCTCCTACTCCAGCCTCCTCCCCATAAATGCAGGTGAAAGCAAGGGCTCCTTTCCCTCAGCTGTTCAACCTAACAGGAATAGCTGCAATTTGCAAATTAGAAGAAAATGACAGTGTTGTCTCGGAATGGCTTGGTCCCAGCCCACACTGCTATCACTAGCATTTGGTGCTTTTCCTTCCAAACCCAGGGATGAGAGAACCAAGAGTGAGGCAGAGGACTTTCCTCACGTTCACACCAAGGAAGGAATCTGTTTCCTTCAACGCAGTCCCTCAGTTTAGAAGGCAATCCTTGGCTTCTGCAGATTTAACAAGAGGTTCACTCCTACAAACAGGCCAACCTGCACTGCCCATGCTCAGAGCAAAAAGAAAAAGAAAAAAAATTAAATGCTAAATATAAAACGTCCCCTGGGCCCAGAGAGCTCTGTGACCCGCTGAGTCTACCTCCCTGGTTCTCAGGTAATGCCTGTGGCCCTGACTCTCTGGCCCATCTCCTGTTCTGTCATGAAGCTCAGAACTGGAGAGCTTCAGCTCCAGGTCTTGGTTTACAGACTAAACTCCACACAACAGCAAGCAACTCAGAGAAAGGCTGCCACCCCCAGAACTCTTGTATCCTCAGCACATCTGGCTAGGGCCAGGCCAACCTCCCACAATGCCCCTCTTTCTGCTCAAACACAAACTTTACCCTCTGGGATGTGAGATAGTGGCAGTGGGATCCTTCTCTCCTCAAAATCAATCCCTCAGGGAAAGGCCTTGAGAGGGAGCCAGTTCTCCAGATGTTGGCACAGGAAGGTGGAGGCGGCCAGGCCAGCACCCACATCTAGGACTGGACAGACTGGGTCTGGGCTACAGCTGCCAGCAAGCAGCCTTCAGTGGGAAAGGTCCATCTTAAGAAAGGAGATGAACCAAAGATTCAGGGGTATGGATTACTAAGAAAGCAAGACAGAAAGACACTAAGGGACAGAAAAATAGATACAGGGAAAACCAATAGCAAGAGCAGAGCGGCAGAGAGGCGCTTAGTAACGCGAAGAAAGGCAGAGAAAGGAATAATATACAATCCAACTGGCAGAGCCTGAAACTCAAATCCCCTAGCCCAAACGCCATCCTGAAACCGGTGCAGTCAGTCCCCACGCGGTAGCGGGAGCAAGAGCAGGCGCCAAGGGGCACTGCGGTGGCACCCCATCATTGCTCTGCGCCCCAGCCGCCTTCCTGGCCTCGTGGCCACCGCCCTCCACCTGGGGCTGGAGAAGAGCTTGCATAGCTCGGCACCCCACCACTTCCCTCAGGGCGCCCTCCTGCCTGGGCCCGGAAGGTCCCTAAGGAGTGAACTTGGGGTCTGCGTTTGGGGAGGCAGTGGAGGCGGACAGAGGGAGGAGGGAGCCAAAGCGATGTGCTTTTGCAGTTCGCATGAGCTCATCACTAGGCTGAGGGCTGAGGTGGAGGGTGGAGGACGCCAAGCGCCCAGCTCCTGCCACTGGCCAGCTTGTCAAATGCCACCTTGAAGGTGCAAAATCTCCTCGCGCACCGCCACTGAGGGGGCACGTCCGTGGTGGCGTCTCCCCCCTCGAGAGGGTCCCTGTGCCCGCCCGCCCCACGCCCTTGCGGAGACTGACTACAGGTCTGGTAACCCAGCACCTGGCCAGCACATCACGGTCTCGGGTCTAAGACGTGCCTCAGAGAAGTCGCTCAAATGTCCCCCAAGCCAGGTGACCAGGCGCCCAGGGACGGAAAGATGGGAGCGGGGCTCCGTCCCAAGGCCCCCTCTAATCTTCCCTATGCCTTGCGCCCGGCCGACTCCCCAGAAGCCTGGCACTTTGCAGAGCTTGCTTTGGGGCCGGATTTGGCTGGGATGCAAACCCATTTAAATCACTGCCTTGGTTTTCGCAGATTGTTCTGGTAAATGGGGCCATAAATCCAGGATGTGGCGCCCAATGGAATGGAGCGCGAAAGGGGAGCAGGGTGGGCGCCTCTCCATGGCCGAGGCGCCAAGGGGGACCCGACCCTGCGCCGGGCGGTCCACGCCAGCTCCGAGGAGGAGCGCGGGAGCCAGCGCGCCCCCCTACCTGGAAAAGCCTCAGGATGTTGGCTACCATGATGGAGACCGAACTCCCTGAAGCCCCAATCACTCCTACTACTTTCTCGGGCTTGACGAATACGGGGGGCTCCCCGTTGGTGCAGCGCACGTCGGAGGTGTCCTTTTGAATAAGAGCTTGGACGAAAGTGAGTGACTGCTCCAGCGCGTAAGTGTCCCTGGAACAAGTGTCCAGGATCCGCGCGCCCAGTGTCACGTTGGGCAGCAGGTTGGGATCACTGTTGATCTGGTCCAGAGCATAGAGCATCGCCTCCAGTCTGTGGATGCCGTTCTCCTTCTTGATGTCGCCGCAAGGTACCCCGCTGGGACCCTTGGCGTGCACCGGGAACAGCCCCCCGAGGGTGACGTCCCCCTCGATCCGGATCGAGTGCGGGGCGTACATCTCCTGGCCGCGCGCCGCCGCCAGCGCGCACAGGAGCACCTCCAGCACGCAGCAGGGGAACTTCATCAAAGTCAGGGCCCGGCGCAGCGGCCCCAGCCCGACCATGCTGCCTGGGCGGCGGCGGGGCCGGGACAGCTCGCCCGCTGAGGCCCCTCGCGTGAGCTCCAGGGGAAGCCCGGGCACTCGTGGAGGCGCGGCGGGCAGGGCGCCCCCGAGGCCGGAACAGGGTGCGGGTGCCGCGGCGAGAGCCTGACGGACCTCTGTGCGCTCAGGGGGCCGCTGGCGCCGCGCTCGGGGTTGACCGCTCACGCTCAGCTCCAGCCCGGTACTGGGAGAGGGCAGGAACCGCTGTCGCTTTAAATGGTCGTTCAGCTCCTTTCCTCCTCCGCCCACCGTCGCCTCCCGCCCTCCCCGCCCCCTCTAGTTTGCATCATCACGCAGGGAGGGGCTGCGTGCGCGGGGCGGGAGCGGTGGGCGGCGGGCTGGGGGCGCGGGTCCCGGGGCTCCAGACTCCCGCGTCCCGCTGGCGCTGAGCGACATGCTGCTGGCGCCGGGGCGCATCTCAGCATGGTGGCCTGCCAGGGTAGGGGTGTCCACCGCCGGCGCCGATCCCTCAGCTCGGCTCCGCTGGGAGAACGCGAGCAAGGGGTAGGTGAAAAAGCCGGGAAGGAGAGGCCGGGAGACCCCAGACTCTCCCGCACCCCGCGCAGACCAGTTTTCCGGGGGAACACACTGATTCGTGCCTTCAGAAGCTTTTCTGGAGCAGGCTCGGGGCTAGGCAGTGGGAAAGCAAAGACCCAGAGACCAGTACGGAAAAATCAGGGTGCACCTGGGGTCCTCAAGAGTTACTGGCGCCGGAGCTAGGTGAGCCCCAAATCTTAGTCCCCTCTTATGACCCCCGACTGCCTCGTCTCCCAGAGAACTGCTGGCGGTGCGGAGCGCACTTCCCAGCGATGACAGGTGGAGGGCTGTCTTCCAACCATTTCCAGAGACCCAGCTACTGTCTGGGGTTTGCGGGGAGAAAAAAGCAGGAAAGAGGCGGCTGTCCGGGGAGGGAGCAGCTGGGGGCTACGTGAAGACGCGGGCAGATCAAGTGCAAGCGGGACGTGGGGCGTTCTTTTTAAAGGTGGCCCCTCTTGCCAGCCTCAACCACCCTTCGCCTGAAAGGATGGGCCCTGAGGCCATAAGACTGAGGTCATGAAGGGGACTCTGGACAGGGTTAGGTTCATAGGGTCACTGTGGATCATTGTCCACTTGATGACACCTAACAACGCCTTCCTGTCAGCCCTCGCAGGTTTGGTCCAGGAAAGCAACAAGTGCCCCCCCCCCTCATCTAAAGAAAAGGTATTTTGCTTCAGGACTAGCCCTGGACTGGAGGAGGTGAACCGAGCATCTGCCCGCTTGCTGTAGGAATGCTGCAAACCCCACTGGGCAGTCTTGGGCTAGAGAGACAGGAAATGCAGGCTCCAATCTCTGGTGTTCACTATTGCTAATGCAGTAAAATAAAAAGGAGCGCCAGCAATCAGAGGAGACAGGAGTGGACTTCCCCTGGTCGTCAGGGTTCTGGGCTTGTGGCCCTTTTAGCGCTAGACCCATTTTATAAAAGGATTCGATGAACTGGCTGTTCTCCATGGCGTCTCTTCACTTCAGTTCTCTGTGAAAATAGGCCACGAACCTCTGGCCATGGTGTGCTTTTTAGACCCATAGCCTCTCATTGCTTTGTGTGGTGGAGACCACGGTGGATGTCGTGTTGTTAGAGGTGATCTGGTCACCACCACTCACAGCCACGCATGTGAACAGCAGAGCTGAGCTCTGTCCTGTCCCATGCCATCCTCAAGATCTCTGCTGGGTTCTGATGAGCCGTTGTTACAGTTAGTATAGACCAGGCTTGGGTAGTCAAAGCACATTCCGGGTGTCTCCTTCTAGGGGGAGCAGGAATTCATTAAAGGATGGAAGTGCTGCCCATCCAGAGCCAATCTGGGATGAGTGCTGGGACTTCTGTGAGGGCAGCTGAGGCAAGAGCCCTAGACTTCCCCTGCGGAAAAGATCAGTCCTGTGGCACCTGATCATTCCTGTTGCAACTGTCAGAGGGAGTCACCAGATAAAAGTAGGTGAGTTAGGAAAGGGCTCCTTTCTCCAAACACTTAATGCTGGCTTATAGAAGAATGCTGATTTGAGTTTGTGAGAAAATCTTTCATTGCCCTCTGCCAGAAAAAAATGCTATAACCAACATGCACATCTGCGCTGTGTGCAGGTGAATGTCCTGCTGATGACATCTGCTTTGCCCCATGAGGCCCCCACTTGCAAATGTGATCTCACAGTGGTCCTACTTTTTTCTGCCAGTCATGGATCTGTGAGGATAACAGTCACAGAGGTGCCCTGGGTTCCTCTTGGAGACAGAGTAAAAGTAAAGATCTCTAATACTGGAAGAATATATGGAAGAAAGGAGTAGGGGGGAGGGAAGGACTTGAACACCTGGGTTCAGTTACCCCTGGGTTCAGGCACGCCTGGAAGACTGCCGCCAAACTTCCTTTAATTGTGTAGTATTTTCTCTCTGTTGCTGAAAGGATCCTCTTCGCATGCGCCTGGTGTGGTATACCAGATCCAGGTGGACTAGCTCAGTCAGAAATGCTGCTGCGGTGACATCACACACATGCACACCCTCCTGCATTTAGGCATCAGACACTTGAAGACTCCATCCTGACTTATTTTGAACCTGAGGCTATTTATTGTGGACTTGATGACATGGAAGACTTGAAGTTAGGTAACAAATGTCACTTGCTGTTTTCGTCTGCATCTACATCTTGGTGCGTCGTCTGTTCTCTTTTTCCTCTTCCTACAGGTACTTCCCAGCCAAGGACTGCTCAATCAGTACTGCTTGACTGAGTTGATATTGCCTCTTGTGCTGTGTTCTTTGCTTTGCCTTTTCCCCCAAACATGTGTCAGTAACCATTACCTTCCTTGGGTTGCTCATCTGTGTGTATGTCCTGTTTCCAAGCCAAGTTGTAAGATCATTGTGGGTCAGGGCTGAGTATTATCTTTTTATCCCAGATAATACCTGGAATGGTGGTTTGTGACACCACGCATTCATGTGTTGGATGAATCAGAACTGGAGTCTGTTTCCGTAGCCTTTCTTTGAGAGAGTCTGTAATTTAGAGTGCAAGCTCCTTAAAAGCACAAATGCCAGCCAGTTAATTACTGTCCCCTTAGTCACTGTTCATAGTTTCTAACATTTCAAGGATGATTTGTAGATTTTGCAATCATTTTATCTTTTTTTAATTGTGTAAGATTAAATCAGTCTAATTTGATGTTGTCTTTGAAGATTTTAATTGATCCTTTTGGAAAAATAACTTATTTGGGAACCTCTTGCCTTAGCTGATTTGAAAGAAGGGATGGCATAGGCCTGTTTTTCTGACATATCACCTGGACCAAGTAGAGAGAGGTATTGCTGTTAGGAGAACTGCCACGTGGTAATGAGCTTATAAGATTATTACCTGCCAGCACTCATGACAGGTGTCTGAGTCATTTTACATTGTTAGCACAGCACGTGGAGTCAGACACTTAATAGGTAACACAGTTTTTAATTTGAGGATTTTTTGTGATTATATGAAATTAAAAAATATGTAGGTTACCCAAAACTGGGTCCCTTCCAGTCTTTAGGCACAAAGTGCACACAATGTAAAAGTGTTCACAGGTTTGCTATGTCGACTCATATCTCTGTCCTTATGAAAGGGTTAAGACTGTATTTACAGCCAGTCTTGCTCCCAAGTCATATTCTTAGAATTGTTTTTCTTCTACAGCTTCTGCTTTTTATTGTGTCTATAGATATGAATTCATTACTTTTTAAGTTTGCACTGTGATTTAACGAAAAACTTAGTATGATTTGAGTGAAAGTTTACAGGGAATATTGGGATTTTATTCAATCATTTATCCACATTTTGCTTTATGACTTTGGATATAGTCCTCTTACCACACTTCATCAGGCTCCTTTCTAGCATCTGATGCTGCCCCTGTGACGCTTTGAGGTTAGTTGTAATAAGAGCCAGTATCTCCTTGATGTTAGTGTTCCCTTTATGGACCTGTCTCTTGTTGGGCTGCTGGCTGTTGGTTGAAAAGGTATGAGTGCAGTTCTAGGCTCAATTTTTATACTTAACTAGCATATTCCTCTTGACTCCCATATTGGAATAAACCCTGATTTTATACTGTTATATTCACCCCAAACACCTATGAAGGATGTTTGAGAATTATTAAGTTCCTTTTAAAGGCTGCACTTGGTATTATGAGTAAACCTGTAACCCAGAGGGAAAGGTTTAGTGATAACTTCTGAATGCAGCTCCTTAACCTTTATTCTTTTTGTAAGTATACATATAAAAATATAGAACCTAGACATATAGAATGATTGTGACCTTTCCACTTACTATCTAAGGACAACCCCAACACACAGAGGTTCTCCACACCATTAAATAAAAACCAGCCTCACTGTTCCACCTTTTGATCTCCTACTACATAATTCAAGAACATACTTCATATTTATGATAGTTCAGGTTGAATTTTTCCTTGCAGCCAAATATATACATATTATGCCATTAAAATATATACATTGTTACTCAACATTGAGTTTATTTATAATAATATTGTATATTTTATATCATTGATATTAATAAGCATTTTTAGGTACTTGCTAGATACCAGGCACTCCCTGTATAACTCTTTTTTTCCTGAGCATAACCACTTGTAATACATATTATTATTATCAGCTTTACAGATGAAGAAATAGAGGCCTAGGAAGATGAAATATCTGTTTTTATCACTGTGTCACCATTTAGTTCTTATTTAGGGTCCCTTATTATCTTGCCTTAAAGATTTCACATCTTGAGTCCAGCCTCCCTGTCTTCTGTGAATTACACCGGTGGTCATTTGTCCTCAATTCACAAACTGCCTGGACCTCTGCGAGCTGACTGACCCCTGTGGATACAGTGACTTGGAACCCACTTGGACATTCTGGCTGCGGCATCTGAGGAAACCGCTCTGTTTTTTTCTGGCTTTCAGTGGGACCACTGTCTTATTTCTCTTCTTAGCACCTAGGGAAGACCTGTTTTACCCCTTTAGGAAGAGGCATAAAGAAAAAGCTTTGGAGAAATTAATGAAACTATTCCTTCAGGCATAGCCATACTTCTCTATCCCTTATATTGTCATATTGCTGTTAAGTAACAACAATAGAGCTGTAAATCTGAGAACAAAATAGTTTATTTAACAGGGAAAACTTATTTCCCCCTTTAAAAATGCATAGACAAAACCTCAGAAATGCTTTTATAATTGTACCC